ACACACACACACACACACACACACACACACACACACACACACACACACACACACACACACACACACACACACACACACTCCAATTTCCTTGAATTTAAACATAAAATTGAAAGTTATATTACACACATTTTCCTCATGTGGACAGCAGATGGCGACACAGACCAGATGACACGTGCTGCTTAATTTCCATGAGAAAGGTATTAAAATTGAACAGGTTTTCACTGTTACTTTGCAGCAGGTATTTATTTCAACCGCTCATTCATTTGCAGTGGATAGATTTAGCTGTTTGCACAAGAAACAATTCGAAAGTTTTGCATATATTAAAGCAAATTTGGCTAAAAATCTACCAACCAAAAGTCCAACCAGTGCAAAACACAAGAAGTCAATTCATTCATTCTCAATCAGCAACAAGCCTCCAGTTGATACACAACACAAGGGTCCTGACACTAAAAGACTGTGCGCTTTATTTTTAGACACTGGCCTCTTGAGAAATGTTCAAAGGGCCACAGCTAACCCCTAGGTGCTGCAGTGGCAGCTCTGTGCCGTGCATTTTAAACAGGGAGGGGCGGGGCGACGGAGGGGAGAGGGAACAACAGAGCAAGGGAAAAGAAGTTTGTCAGAGTTCATTAAGTATCAAGGGAACATTGCTGGAACTGGCAGCGTAAGCCGTGCCGGGGCCCTAGTGCCATTAATCACGAGTGACAAGAAACCAGGGGCCGAGGGAGTGGGGCGGAGGGGAGAGGGGGGCAGCTCTGTCAGAGACTCTGGAAGTGATTACAGAGCGGGGTCCAAGCAGCCCGGGCCAGGGGTGGTGAAGGTAAAACACACCACAGCCGAGGCTACGGAGTTCAGGTGCCTTCACACAGGTCACACACACAATCACAGAGTGAGAAGACAGACATGTAACTCCAGGCCCTTTAAAACATGGAAGGGTAAATGCAGAGAGAGGGAAATATTCAGGTCCAAGAAGCGATATAGTGCTGGATCTTTCCCTTTGTGTATTTCATCCTCTCTCCCTCATTTATATGAGCTGAGCCTCTGGCTTAATAGCATGCAGGAGGAGGAGGAGAGTGGAAGTGCGGCAGTAACAGAGCGTTGCCCATACATCTCTGTCGGCCGGCCTTGTTTTCTCGCTGCACCCCCAGAAATCCAGTGCTAGCTCGCCACACTGCTGCCGCCCTGGAAGAAGAAATAAATGGGGGAGAGAGAGAGAGAGGGGGAGAAAAGAGAGAGGAGAGCTCGTGACTTGTGAAGATGGAGGCCTCTGTTAAGTGCTGTGCTTGAAAGCCCGTCTGGCCTCATTAGCTGTCAGTTGTAACAATACTGAGCTGGCAGCAGAGACTGCTCCCAGTCTCAGTGCCATAAATCACAGCCTGACAGGGCCCTGACAGGGCTGGGAACCAACACACATGCAACACTCGCTTGCTTTCTGTCTCTGCTCTGTTCCCTTTCTTTCCCTTTCTCTGCCTAGTTTACCACTGCTTATTCTATTTTCCTTCATTATCTTCAATTCTCTCTCCGTTTCTTCTCTGTTTTTTTCAGGACCAACCCCTTTCTTACTCTTTCTGTCTCTTTTATCTGTCTGTCACACACACTTACAGCACATTACAGCATGTCAGCAGACAGCTCAGGACACATGTGCTCACATGATCACACTCTTTCATTGTGTCCCGTACATAAGTGTTTTTGACAGGAAGAGTTTGGAAAATGGATATGGAGATATGGTCTGTGTGCATGTGTTTGTTTGATTGTTAAGTCTTATATGGGCTGTTTAATATCACTTGGCTGTACTTTAGGAATTTTAATATAGAGTAATATTAAATAGCTGTTAGTGTAATAGCTTTGTAAGAGTCTGTTGAAACACTTACAAATATTAAAGCTGCGGTCTCCATATCAGCTCAAATTACAAATCAGTAAGAGCTGACCCAATATTTCCCCTTCAAGTTCAATGATTTTACTCTCTCTCCAAGAGAAAGGTGCTTTTCACTTTGGGACTCGGGCCTGGATCAAACCACATTTGATCCCAAAGTCCACTGCTACCTGGAGTTCGAACACCCGTGCCTAATATTGAAAAGCACTGAGACGAGCAATCCTCCTATTACCAAATATATAGTCAGGAGGTAATTAGCTAGGCTAGCTTAAAAAAAAAGAACTACAAAAAGAAAACACGATGCAGATCTGAGGTGATAATAAGATTTATTATAGCAGTGGTGTTGATCTAGGTAAGATAATAAATGGGATGTATTAATGGAGGACATTTTCTCTGTGATGCTGACCAAAGTTTGCTTGCTTTACTTGACAAATTGAGAAAATCAAATCAAAGAGGGAGAAGGAGTTGTTGACAAGTTAAACTGACAAGTTAAAAGTCAGTTAAGAAGATCACAACATAGAAGGCCATCTAAAAGTACCCTGGTATTCTGTCGTCTGATATGAGAAAGGAACTAAGACCTTGGGACCTGCAGGTCATCACATAAAGAAGTATTTCTTTGTAGTAGTATTGTATTTCCCTAAATATCGAGCAATCCCCTCAGGATGCTTCAGTGTAGCTTTAAATCCCAAGTGAAATTCTTTCACCTTTGGTAATACTCAACGCCTGAGCATTATTTTAATGAGAGTCCTGCCAACTTCAAAACATTGAAGAGGAACATAGAACAGTCTGGTTAAAGCAGGAGACAGTGACTCCAGCAGCATAAAGCTGACCTCTCATTACTGATGTCACATTCTGAGGCTACTGAAATGCAAAGTCTTCCAGAGCAGCTTTACATGTAAATGTATGAGTGTATTTGCATGTGGACGATGTTATGGTCTGTTTGTAGCCATGAGGCCAAGCAGGTGCTGCTGCAGCCGTCTGCCAGCCTCCGCTACGGCGACGCACGATGACGTGTGTGACACGACTAGAGAGGAAGGAAGTGTGGGTCATTAATCATTTCTGTTGACACGTGGCCTCATATACCTAGGCCTATACGTTTCTCCATAGAGATGTAGCTGTGGCTTGGAGGGGGATACTGGAGCAGTGTTTACAAATGGAATAACAACTTCATGTTAGTACCCAAACCCAACAGGACACAGCTGATTTAACTGACTTAGGGTCAGCTCAGGTGTGATATTACACAGCTCTACACAAGAAAATGCAGACATGTCAATTACACTCATTAGGAATTAGTGTTACTAATTGTTTTCTTTGGGTTTCACTTGTGTTTCACCAAGCTAATATCTTTTGGCCTTTAAACTTTTTTTATTTTTCATTATATGAAAGATCCTTTTCGGTAGAACAGCCTCAAACAAAGCATTGGTGAGTCCTGGATTGGGAGTAAGCCTGGAGTTACTCAACATGATCTGTTTGTAATACAACTCTGAAAAGCATAAACCAACATTTTTAAACAAGCAACAACTGTTTTTGGGGTTCTAAAGGGCAGCAGAAACTTTTAAGTTAAAAAAGTAACTATTTACACTTTCCCCTGACACAAACCATCTGCTATAACTAAAGTTTTGAGGTCCACCTGACAAACCCGTTGGGGTGAGAGGATAGAAATGGGGGAGACAGAAACACACAAACAGATGTGAAACTATTATTGAAAGGGAGTATAAAACCTTCCAGAACAACAAAATAACCAGAAGTTAGTAGAGGTGCACTAGTGAACACACCAACGTAAATCCAGTTTACACACATCTAGAGTCGGTTTTATCTAAATCAAACAGCTATGATGTGGAAATACACATAACTTGATGTCTATGAGGTTTATCTTAAATATTACTCTACTTGTAACCATATTATCA